ACTTTCAAAGCCACTGCCCTCATCTAATAGGTGAATATAAAAACCAGGCGGTAGCAAATCTGCCTGCACAAGTTGTGGTAAGATTTTAGCAAACAATTTGTAACCTGTCAACAATCCAAACGCTTAGGATTAGCGGTGCAAATCAACTTGTTTGCAAAGGTATTTTAGAATTAGTGGAGCATATCAACTTGTTTGCAAAGGTAATTGTGCAGAAAATACACTTTGTCCATATGTAATTGGTGACTTATTTATACATATATAAATAAGTTACCAATTCTAATCTAAACGTTTAGTATGGGGTTAGTAGGTGGCTCTAATCTAGAGTTTAGTATAGGGTTCTAATCTAGACATTTATAATCTTATATTTAGTACGGAGTTCTTATTTAGTCTAGGATTATAATCTAATATAATCTAAGATTTTAATCTAATATTTAGTACAGGGTTCTAATCTAGACATTTATGTATAGTCGCTTCAAAACACATTATAAAAAATAACTATAAACTAACTTTCAATCGATAAATTTTGTTTACCTTTTTTCCAAACCTTTTTTTTTTTTTTTTTTAATTTTACATTTGTTGGTCGTATTACAACTATAAATTGCCAAAAATAAATAAATAATGATAATAATAATAAACTTTCACAAATATAAAATAAGGTATCTGAAAGAAGATCAAAGGATCTTGTCGTCAGAACCTTAAATAAGTTCAAACAAGCATTAACAGTATCAAATTTTTACAAATTTCATAAGTATATATTATATAATCCAAGGAGAGATCACGCGGATTTACTCACCAATATTTTATATAAACGTATATGTTAAGTAAAGAATATAAAATCAACTAAATAAGTAAGAATAAACTTTTTACAAATGTAAATAAGAAAAGGCAAAGTTAATAATTCATACTATTAATAATAGCATATGTCATCATATAAAAAAATTAAGGTTTTTAATCTTTTATTTTTTATTTGTGATTTGATTTGTTTTTTATTCTTTTTTTTTATTCATTTTTTTAAAAGTGCAATATGATTGGATAAATTTAAACTTTGCGGTAGTTATACGGTAATTTATTAAAAAATTAAAATTTTTTAAGACAAAGAAGACAAAGATAATTACGTCACTTTTCACGGAATTTTTTTTTTTTGTTACTACTAAAAAAAATTCCGTGAAAAGTGACGTAATTTTCTTAGTCTTCCTCCAGCTCATTTACCATACCTTTTTTGTAAAACTGGACGTGCCACCTATCTTAAACGCATTATATACTTATTTTCTACATCTAAAAAAAATTTCATGGTTTTATTTACTCTTGAACGATTGTTATTCCAATCTGTTGCACTATTACTTCTAAACGTTTTTTCTGATATTTTTTCGGTGAAATTTTCTCAAAAGTATAATTTTTGGTGAAATACCAAGACTTATTTAGATTCAAAAAATTCTAAAAAAAAATTTGACTTAAGGCCCATTACCATAGAAACAAATAGGAAATACTAGTTTAAAAGACTTAAATAACATCTTTTCGTTTAAACGGAAAACAATCTTTCCCTTTCTTAATTTTCTTCTTTTTTTTTCTCTTTATATATTATTTTTTTTTTGCAATAACAATTTTTTAATTAAAAACTTTAGTGTATTACGGAAATGCATTTTATAAATGTTATATTTTTTTTATTTTTTGTTTGTTTTTTTAAGCTGCTTTATGTTTTTTGTTATTTGTTCTAGTTAAAGTTTAAAATGTTCTATTTTCAATTTTGTTTTTATAAATTTTGTTATATATATATATATATATATATATATATATATATATATATATATATATATATATATATATATATATATATATATATATATATAAGGCCGGTGCGATAGGGGTGTGTGTGTGGGGGGGGGAGGAGTGTGACGCCCCATCAATGATTTTTAGTCGGCAAATTGGACCCTTAGTCGGCAAATTGGACCTTTTAGACTAGTTAGTTGGCAAATGTCGACCCTTTTTATATAGGTTAGTCGGTAATCTAGACAGTCGGCAAATGTCGTCATGGCAGTCGGCAAACTTTCGAAAACAAGAACCTTTTTTTTTTTTAGTCAGCAAAAGTTGTAATGGCACCCCCACGTGACACCTACTCGCGCCGGCCCTGTATATATATAATATATATATATATATATATATATATATATATATATATATATATATATATATATATATATATATATATATAAATATATATATATATATATATATATATACATGTATATATATATATATATATATATATATATATATATATATATATATATATATATATATATATATATATATATATATATATATATATATATGTGTGTGTATATATATATGTATATATATATATATATATGTGTGTGTATATATATATATATATATATATATATATATATATATATATATATATATATATATATATATATATATATATATATATATATATATATATATATATATATATATATATATATATATATATGAGTGTATTTTTAAAATCCTGTTATATCAAAAAACAACAAATGTTATATTAAATTTAATTTTAAAGAAAAGGTTGTCCAAAGGACTATATGAAAAGGTTAAAATAATAGTCTTATCATCCATGCCATCTTTAAGTCTTTTTCTATTTATATTAAAAATTGTCAATTTTTAAAATTTATTTTATTATATAATCAGTAAAAAAAAAAGAAAAATTAGTAATGTTAAGAAGCTTTAAGTAATCTGCTTATTTATGTTAAAAATAACACGAATTAAAAATAAATCTGTAGTTTAAATTTTAACCTTATAAATAATGCTTATTTAAAAAAAATTTGTCTAATATATTATAATTATAAATATAAAAAATATAAAATATAAATATAAAAAAATATAAAAATCTGTCTAATATATATTGATAATAATTTTTTTTTTCAAATAATAATATCAGCAATAAAAATTTTCTTATTTTATAAATTTAGCAAAACTTCGAGAAGATCGTAAAGATCTCTCTCCAAACTAGAAATACGATGTAGTAATTAATTTTTTTTGGTTTGGTTTTGAAAACTTAAATATTTTATTTAAAATACTTTAATGATTATAAGAAACATTATTTATTACGCTGTATTTCTACCTGTATTATTTACGATGTATTTCTCTAAACTGTTTAGAATCAAAATTTAGAACTTAACGAGTTTATCGTATCCTATAACTCTTGAACACACATGCTAAATATTAAACTAACATAAATCGATTTGTAATAGTAATTAGTAAGTTTTTCAGCATTTATTTCATCAGGCTTTTAAGGATGTTACAAGTAGTATAGATAATTTTTATAAAAATTTTCCCACTTGTCATTTCTTCCCACTTCCCCTTATTATGTAAGTAAACTATGTACACATCACTGCGATTATCCACTAGTAAAACAGTTGGTATGTATAAAATTTTAACAAAAATAAATGCTATAATTTAAGTATTTAAGTTTTCTTGTAACTTAATGTCTGAACGTTTGGAAATTTCAAGTAATGACTGATTTCACTTATTACACAAAATTTATCGTTCTTATTTAAAATGAAGGTCTGTGACTTTATAATCTCATTTCACTGAACACATTTGACTACGCCTGCAAACTATTTCTAAGCGGTTCTCGGCTTAGAAATAGTTTGTTACAACTTCAGTGTAAACTTTATTTATAAAATAATTTTATGCCTTTATTCTTAAATAGTAACATTAAAAAAACGTCTCAAAATATAGAAATATCAATACATTCTTAATGGCAACGCAATAGTTTCTCGGAGCAATTCTTCCTAGAAATAATAGACTGCGTTTATTTTAGTTGTTGTGATATTTGAACTCGTGTATTTTCACGTGTATTTTTAGGTATTTAGTTTGCGGTATTAGCTATCGCCATTCTATTTTTCTATCCTACTGAATCAACAAACAATGTTGATTAAGCTTATATATCTTGAACAAAAACATCAACAACTCAAGAATAACAAAAAAAAAATTTATTAGTTTGATATACAAAAAGCTATGCGGGTTTTTATTTGCTTAGTATTAGTTGAAATACATTAGGAGATATTGTATGTACTTTACTTTTTTGAGTAGCACTTCTTGTTTACTTTTTATTATTATTGTTATTATTATTTTGTTAATGATGTTTTTATTATATATATATATATATATATATATATATATATATATATATATATATATATATATATATATATATATATATATATATATATATATATATATATATATATATATATATATATATATATATATATATATATATATATATATATATATATATACTTATATATGTTATATATATATATATATATATATATATATGTATATATATATATATATAATAACTATATCCAATAAATGTATATATAATATATATTTTTTATATTTTATGATATAATATATAATGTATATATTATATACATATATATATATATATATATATATATATATATATATATATATATATATATATATATATATATATATATATATATATATATATATATATATATATATATATATATATATATATATATATATATATATACAAATAGTATTGCATACTAAGGTAAGCAATCTGATGTCTTACTAAAATAACCTGCTGCTGAGGGCTTTAGTACATACATCGACTGACAAATAGCCTGACTTGCAGTGGAGTGCTGCTACATCCACTGAGGGTTTGGGATAGGGCAGCAATCATTTTGTTCATCATTCTTCGTTTTTTCTTCTTCTTTTTCAAAAAAAACAGTACGGCTTAAGGTAAGCAGAAAAAAAGAGTAAATGTTTATCAAAACCTGCTTTAGTAAGTGTATATATATATATATATATATATATATATATATATATATATATATATATATATATATATATATATATATATATATATATATATGTATATATATATATATATATATATATATATATATATATATATATATATATATATATATATATATATATATATATATATATATATTAGACATAATGGATAGAAACAATTATTTAAAACAAGCATGCATGGAAACATCTGGATAGTATAAAGTTTAATTTTGGAATGTTTCACTTGGAATGAAGTTAAATGAAGCACATTTGCAATACTTGGCTTTACAATCAAAGTTATTTTCCTTTAAATCTGGTAATTTATTTAAAAAAAGTGGTAGGAAAAAAACACCAGCTGATAATGTATCTGTTCGGTGGCAAAAAAGGTGGTGTGCTGTTTATTGTAATATGCTGTTTTATTTTGAAAGCGATACATCTCCTAAACCACAGGGAGTTGTATTCTTAGAAGACGTTTGTGTTAATCCAGTTAATATTTCAGAGAAAGGTTATGTAAGTTTTATGATTTAGTTTGATTTTTTTTTACTTATATATATATATATATATATATATATATATATATATATATATATATATATATATATATATATATATATATATATATATATATGTATATATATATATATATATGTATATATATATATATATATATATATATATATATATATATATATATATATATATATATATTTTGAATGTCGTAATAGCATAAAATATGTAAGTATTTTTAATAATAAATATTTTTTAATTTTGACATGTTTTTTAATTTTTCATTACATTTTCAAAAGATTGTTTTTTACAATAAAAAAACTCTGAAATAGATATTAAAAAAATAAAAGATTTTACAGATTTTAATAAAATCTATAATAACTAGAAATTAAATTTTTTAATTTCCTTTAATTTATTTATTGTATATTAGTGTACAATTTTTTAAACGTTTTAGTAAATTAAGAATAAATCATGCTTAGGGTCCCCGAGAGGGAGAAGCAAAAAGGGCCCCAGTCAACAAGGTATTAGGAACACCAGAAGACAAAAGATAAAAACAAAATGAGATTTTAATTACAAAAAAATAAAAAAATTGTTATTATTGTTGATGCATAAAACAAATTTACTTAGTGACGTGCTTAGCAAATAACTTGCTTTGTTTATATTACCAAGAATTATAGTTTTAAATAATATATTAATTTAATAAATTATTTAAGAGATAAATTATTTAAAACTATTATATAATCACCAGGTTATGTAACAAATAACCGCTGTTGAAAAATTATTAAAAAATGACCTGTCTAAAACCCCAACTAATCAAAGGTTACCCAGAACGTTAGCACTTTTTTAAAAACTGTTTTGTAAGCCATTGTAATAAATTAGAGCATAATGTAATTGATGCACCTACAGTAAACTCTTTTTAAAATATTTTAATGATGCTAATTTGGCTGCAGCAATGTTGATCATCAACATATGAAAACCTGGTGTTGGTTTCCTTTATCAATATTAAACTTTTTATGTATAAGTTTCATTGATTATTATAATAAATAAATAAAAGTCTAAGATCTTTTAGTTTTTAGCTGCAGTCCTACTAGATGGAAGATCTTGCTTTACAAGCTTTCGGACACCAAATGTTCAACTCAGTTTGCCACTATAAAACTAATTACAAAACAATCAAAGGAAATTACTGCTGCTCTAAAGACCTTGCTTTACCTTATACTAAAACATCGACCCATGATGAGCAGATGACTTGTCTTAGTGACGAAACAGAATTTTTTACAAAGCGAATAATAATAGCAAAATGCAATCAATCTGTTTATGCCGTTTTTTTCCATGAGTTCTCTGAATATAAGCTTAAAGTAAACATCTTTAACGTTGCGTTTTGTCATTCCATTTAACAAATTTAATTTAAAATTGGGATTGTAAAAACTGTTTCATTAAGAATCTTATTTATCTGGTTACAACACCGGCCCGAGGAATTCTAGTGCCCTGGGCACGAATTCAAATTTCCTTATTTTTTTAAATTATACATTTTTATAAATTATAAATCATTTATTTATTAAATTAAACAGGAACCAATTTGAACTTTATACAATACTAAAAATTAGTTTTTCTAGCCTTTAAATCGGCAAAGTTTTTAATCAATTTTCATCTTGATACTGAATCTGAAAACATATATTTGTTGGACAATTCCGAAAAATGATATAGAGTCTATATCATTTTTTGGATAACACTCTCTAAATTTTGCTGATGTCATTCTCTAAATTTAGTTATAAGCTACTGTGCAAACTGTACATCTTGTACTGAGTCTACATTATAGACTCAGTACAAGATGTTGCACAGTTGCTTATAACAAAATTTAGAGAGTGACATCTACAAGGCATACAAAAAGCTTTTGAATTTATTTCACAAACTGTTTGTACGCCTTTATTTTTACCCTTTATATTTGCACCATTATTATACCCTTGCCCTCTAGAATTCATTAAATTTAAATTTAGATCTTCCAACAACTTTTTAAAATTTCAAATAAAGGTTGTCCAGTGGATTTTTCAACAGTTTAATAAGTTAAAAAATATTCTTTAATTTCTATCTCATTGGTTGAAATATCAACAAATCTTAATGTAAAGGAGAGTTGTTCAGTATGGCTGACATCATGGGTACAGTCTAGAATTATACTAAAATATTTTGCATATCTAGCTTGTTTTAAAATATTGTCTTTAAATTCGGATGCCAATAAAGAAATTAACTCGTTTTGAATTGTTTTTCCACTTTAAGTTACATGAGATTCTTTAGAAGAAATGCGTTGTAAACGCTCGTTTAAAGTTTTAAATTATTAAAGTATTTGCTGAACAGTTCCACTAAACCCAAAAAATTATAATTTTTTGAAGTAAATAATCTGTCTAAAGAACCACGAAAAGGTAAGTTATTTTTTGATAGGTACAAAATTATGTTGCACATGCAATCTAACACAAGGCGCCAGTGATCTCTTTCTCTTATAATTAAAGATTGCAAATTTTTATCAATAGTTTTATTTGTTTTAAGCCTACAACTAGCTTCACACCAATTACCAAAACACTTGAAGTGTTCGGGTAAAATTTCATGCGATTTTATATATTCAGTCATGTGTTTCCAGTTATTGATTCCAACAGTGGCTAATGATGATTTTTATCTGAATTATAAAGTTTACAACAAACACAAAACACTTTATCAGAACTTGATGAATATAGTAACCAGGTTCTCAAATAAGATTCACTGTTATTTAATTTTCTATACATTAAAGGGATCCCCATCTGCCCAGACAAGTTGTGTTCATATTAAAAAAAATGTTTAAAAAAAACATTTGGGCTAAATTTTATTGATTAAAACTATATAATAAATGCACACCAATAAAAGTTGCATGAATATTTTACTTCTGTTATAATTAATTTGATTTCAAGTTTGTTTTAAAAAAGCAGCGCCAAAAAAAAGTTATTTTTATGTAAAATTGCATTATTTTAGATTTTTTTGTAGTCTACCTGGTTTATATTTTAGTATTGTTTTACTCTTGGAATTTCGGGTAGTGATCATCGTCAATTTTTGTTTGGTTGTGAAGAAGAAGTAGAGTCAGATGAATGGATTTCAGCCATAAAAGAATCTAGGTTTTTGTATTTTTTATGTAAAAGTACTATGTATAAATTTTAATGTATTGATATTTTAACATTTAGAGTTTTTTATAGAGCAGAAATTATTAATGTATTGATACTTTCTGAATTTTTTTCCAGAGCAAAATTAAAAACTTGTTCCATATTCTCTAGTGTAAAGTTAAATACTTGAGAAATTAAGTTAAATATTTTACACTTGAGAAATTATGTTCAATATTTTACACTTAAGAAAACAAAAAGTTTTCCAAAAGAGAAATCTCTAAATATGTTAAAAAAAACTTTTAAAGACCATTAAATTTTTGTAAATTTTTTTGTTTTTGATTTAGGTAAAAAAAAAAAGTATTAAGACTTTAAAAAACATTTTTTATTGAATATGAATTTTAAAAAACACAACTGTCGATTATCTAACAATTTTGTACACTTACTTTGCGCCACTAATACAAAATTCCCAGGTGTAAACTGTTTTTTGTCATTTTGAATCAGAGTCTTAGTTGTATAAATTTATACACTATGTCTACTTTCATATAAATTTAGTTTTTAAAAGTTATAAATTATTATACATTTGTTTTTATCATGTTGAAACTTTACATAATGGGACACATCTGAATGTTTAATGTTAAATCAAGGTAGATATTTTTTCAATTTCATACAGGTATAAACATGTCATTCAGCACAATAAGAACCAAGAAGCAATGGTGCAAGAGACATTAGCAAAGCTTCATTGTGTAGAAGATGAAAAAGAAAGATATAAAAAGGAAATTTCAGATTATTGGGCTGAAATCAACAGACTCAAGATGGAGGTAGTTTTAATCTTATTTAACTATTGAGCAGACATAAATTGACTAAATTAGTTTATGTTGGGTAAACAATTAGATTAATGATGAAATTTTTAATTTTGTATACTAAACTGAAATTTATTTTTAAAGTTGTATTTTCTTTATACCTTTAATGTAATATTTTTTTTTAATTTAATATTTTTTGTAATAAAGTTGTGTACCTTGAGAAAGAACTCAAAAAGTTCTATGGGAGAACGATTAGTTCAAGAACCATTTTATCATGAAACAGAGTTATTAAAACACCAATACTCTTTGAATGATATTAAAAAGATAGAAAAGGTTTTTTTTACTTGATTATTAGTGCTTGTGTGTCTTTTTTTTGTTTGAGTGAATTTCACTTTTTTGTGTTAAACACTGTACATTAACTACATAAAAAACACTAATTTTTGTTGTTGTTTTTTTTTACTTTAGTTGCAAAGTTTTGTGAGATCATGGCTGGTTCATAAAAGATGGAAAATTCTGGTCAAGTCCTTTGTTGATACATTCACAATTACCAACTTCCAAGAGCGGAATAAGGTTTTACTTTGTTTTGTAACTTCTTATATTAAAATCATGTCAACTTCATAAATATTTTAGTTTCTGTATCATTCATAATTCAAAAAAAATTCTGTTGAATTCGGAAAAATTACTCAGGGCTTGGAAGAATTAAAATATACTACAATAATATTTTAATATATTATAAGTAATATTAAAATATATTATTTATTCATAATATTACTTATTCATAATAGCGTAATACTATAAGTAATATACTATTTTATTAAAATAAAAATTATTTTTAAGTTATATTAAAGTTTAAAAAAAAATTAATTAAATTAAAATTACAACATATACTAAAATAGCAATATTTTTCTAAATATTAAAAATATTTTTTAAAAATATTCTTCTTTGTGTCTTTAGACGAAATGAAAGTTAAAAATAATTGGAACATAACATCAGCTCAGAAAATTCAATTTTATAACAGTTTTTTCAAATCATATTTCTCTACAAAATTATGTTTTTTTTTTTTTTTAATAAATTTAAAATTTAACATTTAAAAAAATATTCACTGTTAAAAAATTCTAAACACAAATTTGTCTTCTATAAAACAATAGTTTATTGTTTGCTTTTATGCAAACAATAGTTTGTTTGCTTTTGTGCAAACAATAGTTTATTGTTTGCTTTTGTGCAAACAATAGTTTACTGTTTGCTTTTATGCAGTGTATTATGACTGTAGTTTTTTTTTATAGTTGTTATGGCAACTAATAACATCTGAAGAAGGTTATGCTCAACAAATGAATACCTTAGTTAATGTGTTCCTAAAACCAATGAAAAATTTATCCTACTCTTCCAGTCAAACACTTTCAAATGAAGAACATGCAAAGATATTTTCTAAAAGGTAATGTTTTCAGCATTTGATTTATTAATATAGCATATATCTTAACAAAAAAAGTTTGTTTATATAACATATATATCTCAAGACAAACAGATGGTTAATACAGCATATATCTCAAGTAGGGCTGTACCGAATTTCGGCTCCGGCTCCTGCTCCGGCCGAAATCCGGCCATTTTTACAAATCCGGCCCAAATCCGGCTCTGGCAAAATGTTAGCAAATCCGGCATAATTTTGGCCGGATTTCTGGATGTTTATTACATCTTTTTTACCTGTGATAACATGTATACATAATACTTAATTTTTGAACTTCATGTTTGTTTTGGTATCTGTATTTACATTTTTTTATAATTTAATTAGCTAAACCTAATTTCAAAGAAGAACGCAACAAAAAATTCTGAAGAGAAGACACACGATATTCTGCAATAATGCAGGTGTAAAGACTAAGAAGTCAATCCTAATCAACTCATTAGATGAGCGTTTCAAAGGCATTGAGGAGAAACCTTTTTAGATTGAAAAAAATAAAGAAAATCCAGCAAAACAATCTCGGCTGGATAATTCTTATACATTATCATCATTACAATGGGAATATATATAGATGAAATTATTGAGTCTACGCCCGCTTGTGGCACAGCACATGAACAACAATTACCAACAGGCATTGACACTCAGCTAAGCCAATATCTGGAAGAATCAGAAATATATAGACACGCTGATTCACTACAGTGGCGGAGTGACAACATCCCTGGAAAAAAAGTTCTGTAGAATTTCTCTAAATTTTTGAAACATATGGCCTATAGAAACTCTATAAAATTTATATAAAATGTCTATTAATTTCTATAGAAATTGCTATAAAACTTTTAAACAACAAAAATGATGTTTAATAGAAAACAACCCGACGGGCATTTGTTTTTAAAACGTTCTGAATGTGTTTTAAATGTCTTTTAAACGTCTTTTAAACATTAATGTTTAAAAGACGTTTAAAAGACATTTAAAAATACATTTAGATTGTAACTTTTAAAAAGAAATGCCCGTCGGGAACTGTCACTTGGTGATCTAAATAGTCAACATTGTTGACTATTTTCAACACCAAGTAGGGATATACAGGATTTTGGTTCCTGTAGTTTTGCTTCAAAATCCGGCTCCGGCTCCGATTCCGGCTGGGTCTGTTAGTAAAAATCCGGCAAATCCGGCTCCGGCCGGATTTGGAAAAATTAAATCCGGTACAGCCCTAATCTCAAGACAAACAATTGCTAATAAAAAAGTTTGATTTAAAATAATATTTAATTATTTGTTATGACAAAATATAAATAGAAAAAGATAAAGATATGATTTCAACCTATTATTTTTTGTCTATTATTTGTTGATCTTTTTTTATAAGTCTATATAGTAACATCAATTTTTAGTCGTATAATTAATTTCAACTTTATAAATTGTTCCTGAAATTCTTTTTTTTTTTTTTTAAAGTCACTCAATTTTGGTGATGCATCAAATAATGATGGCGCGCATTGATTGTATTACAAAACATTGGCCTGCTATTCAAATAGGTATTTAATAACAAAATGTACTTGAATGTTATATATTTTTTAATAATCCTTTGTTATTATAATTTAACATACTTACCATAAAATAAAACTAAAAAAAGTTTATTTTGTTTCTGTGACTGTGACCAAAAGATTATTTTTAAATCTACTAAATGTTATATTTAATCCAGAAAGCAGACTAAGAGTTTGGACACAAACTTCTAAAGTTCATGTCACTCACACTGTATTTGTAGTTTAAATGTTAAATGTCATTTCTTTTGTAGAATTTAATGTAAATTAAGTCAATTATGATTAGTTATCTCAATTATCATTTATTTAACTACTTTTCGCATGAAATTTTCTTTTTTATTTGACAACTTATTTTAAATTGTATTATCAAATAATTAAATATGTTTTTTAAATCTTGCCTCATTTTTCTTATCATTTTCTTCAAATAAGACCTTATCATTTTCTGCAAGCAATACCTTATTATCTATTTAACGTTTAATCTGTTGATGGTGTAACATATTTATAACACATTACCAACATGAGCATGTTTTGAAATTTTCATCTTAATCATTGTTTCATATTTTACATCGCATATTACAAACAATAAAATTGAGGTTTTGAATTTTTTATTTTTTTTATATTTATATGCTTAATAATTTTTATATATAAACCTGAATAAATTATATGAACTGTGCAATTTTATCTATTTCAAAAATAATTGCAATAATGTTTCTTTATGTAATAGTTAAAGTTGTTTTTTTTTATTTTAGAATTTTTTTCTCAAAACTTTTAAGTTCTCTGAACCACATTTCCAACTTATTAACATCTTTGTTTGGAGGCTTATTAAAAGGCAGTCAACAAATGCAGTTAACATTTGCCCAGGATAAGTATTCTTTAAAAAAAAAACACCATCTCTAGTCTTTAATCAGCCAAAAGCCCAAAATGCAGTTTAAGCCAGTGTTAACATTTCGTGACTTGTCTAGAAAATCAAATCCTGCAAGGCAGCAGTACATGACCCAAGTTGTTCTAGATAACATGTTACCAGAAGCTGAATAATCTGCAACATAATACAAGAACAAGTTACTGAAACATATTACTAGAATAAGCTATTGGAGCATATTACTGAGACATATGGAGCAAATTATTGGAGGATATTACTGGAACATATTAATCTAACAAAATGATGCAATAACATATATTTACGAGCAAATTATTGCATCATACATGCCCACTGTTTATTGAATGAAAAATTTATTTGTAATATTTATGTCCACTGTTTATTTAATAAAAAAGTAAAAAATTTAAAACTTAATTTTTATTTTTTATTTTAAGTATTATGAATGGCAATATAAAATACTTACTATATAAATAACAAATTGGTTTTGATAAAGGACCTTTTTTTATATAAGAATTAGGCAAAATCAACAAATTAAAATGTTGAGTTTTTCGATTTCCATAAAATTTTTAGGTATAGCTTTAACCCTTTCATGCTCCAATTATCATCCTATAACAAAAAAAAATTTAAACTAAGTTTTTTTGAACTTCATTTATGTCAATATGACAAATGAAAATAATTAATTTTCATTTGTCATATTGACATAAATTCGTATAATTTTAATAAATAAACAACTTTGCATTTTAGCAACATTAATGCTACATTACATTTATTAAAAGAGTAATAGTATTAAAATAATTTTTTTATTACAGTCAAAGAGGGTGTTAACAAAAGTCAAATAGGGATACTGAAAAACGAAACAAATAACAGTGGATTTTTTTATTTTTTATTTATTTTAATTCACCTCCTCAAGGCCGAGAAGACCACTACAGACGAGGAGGCTACTTATTTGTGGTTATAACCCTCTCTTAACTCTATAACTCCGAAACATGAACCTTGACGAACAAGGCCGCTGTGCGGAGAAACGAGTTGAGCGCGGTACTACCAGGGATGTGGTGGGGATCAAACTCGGAACCACTTGTTTATGAAGCGAGCGCTCTTGTGACTTTTAAAAGGATTAAAACATTAAAGATTATTTGTCAACTCCATGAAACTCATTAAAGCATTTTCTTCCTTTTAAAAGTCACAAGTTTTGCATTTCATACATTGAATAAAAGTAAAACCATTTTTACACTGCCTTGAGCGACTTTGTTTCTTTTGAAATACTGGGAAATGGCTACACATATCAAATCTTATATCTTTAGAAGGATTTTCAATGTTGGGTAGGCATCTTTTTGCAGCTACTTTATTTTCTGCAGCAAGTGATGGGCCCCCATGCTTTGCAAGTAATAAAGTTTTACCAGCTTTACACAAACTGTCTCCAATTTGTGTTTGAAATTGTAACAGTGATAGCATATTTTTGGTAGGAACATGCTGTTGATTCATATGACGACAATAAAGAAGCCAACTATTGTTTACAGATATGCCGATACAGTAATAAAAAATATGCATTTAATACTTTACGGTACGCTGTCTCAAATTGTATGTTTCTAGCAACATATCACATAAATCAACTCCTCCCATATGAGCATTATAAATTTCAACAATCTTGGGTCAATCAATAGTCACAAGTTTTTTATTTTTTTTTGACTACCTGTTAGCCTGGTTCATTTCCTACATAATTTGAGATAAGTTGCATAATATTATTATCATACCATGTACCTGGTTCATTTCCTACATAATTTGAGATGAGTTGCACAATATTATTATCATACCATCTTACAATACAAATTCCTGAATTAACATCAACAATATATTCTGAGGAACCTCTTCCAGCTTTTTTGAGATCTTTTTCATTAAGTAACTTTTTACTAGCATCCTTTAAATGATCTTTACGGATTGTTGCTCCTGCCAAAAAATTTTTCTCTTTGAGCAAACAAAGAATATAGATAGATGAAAAATAGTTATCAAAAAAGATTTTGTAGTTAACACCACTAGTTAAACTTTGTGTCAAGCAATAAACAACATTGCCTCCCATCAATAAACCTGGGCGTTCATCTTTATTCAACGAACATTTTCCGCAATAAATCTCAAAAATGTATACAATTCCTGAAACACCGCATCTGGCTCATATTCCCCATTTATGGGATTTTTTAGGAAGATATTGTCTTAGAAAATATCTTCCTTTTGTTGGCAAAGTTTGTTCATCTATCGAATGACTTTCTTCTTGTGGAATATTTTTGATGCTTTTTAAAATAAGTTGAATAAGCGGTCGCACTTTGAACAATTTGTCATAATTAGGATGGTTTACGAGAAGCAATTTACTATTATCTGAAAAATGCAAATAATGTTTTATTTTCTCAAATTGCTTTGAAGTTATGAAGTCTGCTATATTTGGTATATGAGTTTCATTACTCCAGTATAACCTCTAATGTGGGAGTTTAATTATTGACATAAAAACTAATATGCCAACATATTTTTCAATATCATCGTTTGTCACTGCTATTGGTGTACTAGTCAAATTTGCACTACACAGATTTGTCTGTTCTACAATTAGATCAAATATTTCAGAACTAAAATGTTTTTTAAAGTACTGATAAGGTGTTAGTTCTGGATAAGGTGATTCTGTAAAAAGCTCACCATTAAAAGCATCAATTTCTTTTAGGACAAAAACTTTATGCTAACTATGTAAAATTTATTTGCTGAAGTTATTTTATTAGTGAAACTTTCATCATCAGAACTTTCATTGACAATAGACTCAGATTCTGAGCGAGTAAAATCACTGTACATGAACAAATCTTTTTCATAATTTGCACCATCTAAATCACTAGTATTGCTCTCACTATCGACATCGCTCTCATCAAAATTTATGACAAAAGCATCTTTAGATACTAAATGCGTTATAACTTTTTGTTTGACTTTAGAAGAAAAAATTTTTTTTACAGGTATCATTATTTATTTTACTTTAAGTTCTGAAAAATAACTATAAAATTTATCATATATATATATATATATATATATATATATATATATATATATATATATATATATATATATATATATATATATATATATATATATATATATATATTTTTTTACTAAAAATAAGTATATATCAATAACAATATTTTATTTTTTTAAGTATATTTTAACAATTAAATACTAAAAATACTAATTTACATAAACAATTTTATCGCAAAAACAATAATAATAATGGATTGGATTTTATACCATTAGCGTGCAGTGTTGTGTGCAACAACAAATTAAATTCATTGATTAGATTAAAAAGGTATAAATAAAAAAAAAAATATGAATGAGTAGTAAGAACAGTACATTGTTAAGTTAATTTTATATATTTTTTTGACAACAAGGTCAGAATTATAAATCCTTTAAGTTAATAGTAAATTGTTGACTTCTCCTAATAATTTGTTGCCTTCACCCATAAAAATCATCTTCAAAATGTCAGTTGTGCTATGAAATAGCAAGGTTGTTTTTTTCTTCTGCTCTAATTAACTGTCCTTAATAAAAAAATATTGTTTTTAATCAGTTTGGATGCATTATCTGCTTTAGATAAGCTTATTTTAATTTGTTGTTCTAAAACAACCCGGCGCATAAAAGGATTAAATCATTCCAGAGTAAGTTCAAAAGTGATTTAAAGTTTAATAAAATCAAGTGCTTATCAAAGTCTTGTTTTCTGCTAGAAAGCTTACTAACAATAATCTTTAAACAATAGTCTTGTTTTCCAGCCTGCTGGAAAGCAGTATCTGTTATCCCTATTTTCAAAAATTCTGGAGAGTGCGATCTGACTACCGTCCCATTAGTCTTTTTTCTATCGTAAGCAAGGTTTATAAATATAATATAATTATAATTTATAATAATATAAATATAATTTATAACATAAATTTTGATCTTCTTGTTCTACTGCTGGTTTGTAACAACCTTAACAACCTTAACAACCTTAACCTTAATAACCTTAACAACCTTAACATTAATAACGTTAATTGTAGGTTTTATCATGCATTAGATAGATGTGGTTAAGGCTATATTAGATCTAATTAGATTGATGTGGTTTGGTCTTCTCCATGCTGGTCTTCTCCATAAGCTCTCTACTTATGGTGTATGAGGAGCCAACTACTAAAATTAATTATACTCAATTAAGTTTCAGCCTTTTAGCGGGTTATGCATAAGTCTTCGAACTTTTTTTATAGAGTCGTAAAAAAATATTGTTAGTTAGATAAAAAAATGAAACTATATGGTAATAAAGAACATTCATTCTAGTATTTATTAATATATTTAACATATTGAATAGGCGCCTCTATCAGCGATTTTTCTTAGTTGTTTTAACACTCATCATTAGTCTTTGTAACAGATCTGGATCATTTTCTTTTATTTCATTTAATTTGCTCTTTATTCTTCGAACTAGTTGATATATGCTACGTGCTCTCCAACCATCACTGTATACCATCTGACTTAAAATAGCCCAAAATGTTTCAATTGGTCTAGCCTGTAGAACATTTGGTGGATTAGTGCATTTTTTTCTATGGAATTATCAATAAACCCATTTTCTGTTTTATTAGCATAATGAGCAGTTGCAAGATCTGTCCAAAACACAAAATTATTATCTTTATGATGTTCTCTAACAAATGGTATAAGTCTTTTCTTCATACATTCTTTCACATATATATTAGATGTTATTGAATTCTTTGATCTATGTATATAAGGTTCACAAAATCCATTTGAAGAAATGCAAATCCAAACCAAAACCTTTTCTTCGAAAATTAACTAATCTTCTCGATGATGTTGCTGCTCTTTGTTGTTGATCTTTTTCATACAAAGGTGCTTTTTGTTTTTTGTAGCATTTATTATCTGTTTTGAAATTAATAGTTCTTGAAATTGTGCTTTGGTTCACCTTATGAAGCTAAATACTTTTGACTAATACCAGTTGAATTATTTAACATTTTAGTCAATCGTTTGACTTTTTTCTTATCCATTTTTGGAGGATGACCTGATCTAACCAAATCATTATACACACCATACTTCTCATACCTTGCAAGAATACTAAATATAGTTGACTTTGGTATTCCTTCATTTTTAAAATGTTTATATGTTAATTTCTTTTTATCCCTTGAGCGATTTTCATAGAACGTTGCAATTCGTTTTGCGAGGGCTTCTCGATCAAACCTTGTCATTTTTTTTGTATAGAAGTCTAGATAAAAATTATTAAAAAAGTGATTTAAATACATTAATGTTTGATCTTCAAAATAAACAACAAGTTGAAGGTTGAAAAATTACTCTCCTTATTTAAATCAGTTTCAAAAAAAGTTTGAAGACTGCTTATGCACAACCTGTTACTGTGACCGTTATTCTTATTTATCTAGTTTTTTTCCTCAAACATCTGATTCTTATAATTTGCAGTCTTTTAAGTCATTTGATAATTGTTTTCTTGCTTTATTAACTTCATCTTTTCTCTTCCAGTATCTTTCAACTCTAATAGTGGTTGCTTGCGGCCTTGTTGGAAGTGAAGATGTGTAAAAAGAAAAAAAAAACCTAAACTTTATATGAAATTCATCATGTATTTGAAAATGAAATTTACAATTTACTTAATATTTAAAAAAAGATTAAAGAATTTAAGCTGATAAACCCTCATGCATGACTATTATTGTAATAAATATAGCAATACTGGAAAGCTTTCTTAGGTTGGTAACTGTCAATGTTATACTTATCATCTCCTAAAATAGAAACATGTTCAAACAAATAGAAACAAGTAAAGTTTAAATAGATCTGTCTTAACTTTTTTGAGGATTTTTTGTAAATATAATGCATTCTTCAATTAATGCAATCAACATCATTGAGTGATGCAGTTTTTATTAACTTTTCTTTTAATGATAACTGTAGACAGTGTGCATCACACCAATCTAAGGTGATCCATAAGATTTCTTAATGGGAAGCCTTAGGAAGCATTTTAACACCTGACTTCTTCTACAGTGGAGAAAATAGAGTTTAACAAAAATGGCAGTGAAACAATTATTAAATTTATTTTATTTCTTATTATCTTCTACTAGAATTAAAAAATTTATAAATTGGTATGTTTAGTTAATTACAAATGGAAAAAAAAATAAAAGTATTCAATTTATGGAGAAAACAGAATTAACCTCAATTATGTTGTATGCAAGAAATTTTTTTTGTTTTTGCACACATTTAATAGTTGATTTTTTCATGACTTAAATATGCGACTTGACTGTGAACTAGTGACTAGTGAAATATGTGACTTGACTAGCTATGTGAACTAGTTATATAGTTTTTATAGATATTTCATTCAAAGCTTATCTAATACAAGTGGATTCTCAGCTTCAATGTGGATTTAAATTGCTCACCATTTTCATAAACCTTTCTAGAAAGTATTCCCTATAGATTTTTGATTGGGTTTAAATCTGGACTGCATGCGGGCCATTTCATTACCTGAATATTTTTTCCTTTTAACCAAGCTTTTGCAAGATTTGAATTATGGATAGCAGTCTTATTGAAAAGTGAAATTTTCACCCATCAATTCTTTGCCATGTTCAAGCAAACTAATTTCTAATAGGTCGATGTAGTCCTGTGAATTCATTTTTGTTAAAATCCATGCCAGTGGAAGTTTTTCAGCAAATAAAAAAGCCTCCCAAACCATAATTTCCACCACCAAAGTTAAGACTTCATCTGAGTTTCTTCACTTAATTAACATATTTTGAGACAACAAACTATGTTAATTCCACATATAAAAATATATATTTTTTTTATTATTCAATATAATTTTTCCACTTTTTTAAATTGTAAATGATAGAAAGTTATGGTCTAAAAAATGTTTATTTCAGTATATAAAAAAATGAATAATTCTGCATCAGAAATTTTTACAAAATTTTTGCCTATTATTTTATATTTATTAATTTTATCTGCTCCAAATCTATTCCAAAATGTAAAATTTTCTTTATTACTGTTTTAAAGTTTTTAACGCTTTTAGTGTCAACCATTACCGCCAACATCCTTAGCGCCTTACAAAACATATCATAGGAGGTTTTTAGTGTGCTTCCCTGCAGCCTAGGCTTGGATAAGGAAAGAAAAGTAGTGGGATACTAATATGTATAGTAATATGTACAAGGTCTTTTATTTCTGCTTTGTAAAATCTTTCATAAAATTTATAAGAAATATTTTGCACACCTGCTATCAAATACTCAAGACAAAGTAATTTATTTTAAAAACATCTTATTTAAATAAAAAAATAAAAAAGTAAAAACCCATTATATACATATTTATGCTGACTGGGTAAGTTATATTATTTTCATAATGGCTAGAGGATGTCAAAAATTTGCTGAGGCAATGCATTTTGTTGTTACCGTAATATGAAGCAAATATTTATCATTATAACTGTTACTTTTTTATGATATTTCAAAAGTGTTGAAGTTGCAATATGTTATTTTTTTAATCTTTCATGAAGGAAAATACAATGAATATTTTATCTCAAGAGTCAGCAAGTAACAGTAGCAATGACAATGAGGAAGCTTTTTTTGGAGGAAGCTTCTTTACTAATAACAATCTTTCAGCCTCACTTTCCAAATCAGAGTGAGCTAGATGATTTCTTCAAAGATTGACGGGGAGAAATCTCTGAGCTATGATTCAAAGGGAAACCTCTCTAATACACACCCGGAACAAGTGTACCAACCCATTGTGACAACATTGTGTTTTGTGCAATGGTCAATTTCTTCCTGATTAAAATTTAGTTCAAAGAAAAAAAAAGTCAATCTTGTAACATATAAAAATTCAAACATCATTTCTCCAACAGTATTTCTTATGCCCTTTATGCAAATATATTCATAACCATCTATGGCAGCACTGATAATTTTGTTTCATCAGGAACAATGTATTGTTCTCCTTTTTCTTTCCTTGTTCTACCTGTTTGAGGTGCATACTTTGAAACTATATTAGTCCTATACCACTATACTGATCTTTGCTAAGTAATCTTAATACCATGTAGATTTATCTATTTTCATTTATTATTTCAATATTTGTTTTCATTTATTATTTCAATATGATTTGTCTATTCTACTACTAAAATATGAATAAAATATAAATAGTAAAAATTGTTAGAAAAATTATTTATGTGCTTTGTTGAATAATTTTTATTTGATAAGCTTTAATCTTAACATAGAACTAATACTTAGGCAGTTACCACTAATCAGGTTTTTTCTTTTTTTAGATGAGATATTAGCAGATATTATGAGTTCAATACCTATATATGTTGATTACATAAAAAACCATCCACTCTCATTAAGAGTAAGTTTTGTCTGTTTATTTTTTGTTTTTAAAAATTTTAATAAAGTTTTTTTTTCTTCTATTATTCTTAACTAAAACATGTATGAGAAAAAATCTGTTCTGATGTGTTGGTGTTCTAATAATCTGATGTGGTGGTGTTCTGATGTGGTGTTACCAGAAACTGTGCATTATTTTAAATATTAATTATTTTAATATATTTTATTCTATTATTGAGAATTTAACTTAATTATCAAAACAATTAGTTTTAATTAAAATGTCATCAAATAAAGATAAAGAAAAAATGTTGCATTTTATCATTGAAAATCCTAGTGTATCAAATAAAGTAATTTCTAAAGAGTTGCAGATTGCTTTGAGAACAGTGCAAGTGTTTGTGAAACAATTTAAGGACTCTGGTGCAATTTAAAGAAAATCAGGAAGTGGAAGAAAAAGGTTTTTGTTTGACAATATCTTGTTAAAAAAGTGAAAGATGCCTTAGACAGAAATCCAGAGATTTTCAAAAATTCTAAGAAAAATTGTTGTTATAAATCTTATAAAATAAAAAAAGTTCCCTTTTTGTGAGGAAAATCAAGAAAATGTTGCAAATTATTATTAAATGGTTTTCAAAAAAAAATTATGTGCTTAAAAATCTTGTTTGGTTATTGATGATAAAACTTATTATGCTGCATATTTCCAATTTCAGGTCACTATTATTATTCAGCAATTAATCAAAAGCAATTAAATTCCAAATATAAATGCATTGGAATACAAAAAATCACTAAAAAATTCTTAGTTTGGCAATAAAATTGAGAATGTGCTGAAAGAAGCTCTTATTTTGTGACTACAGGAACAGTTAATACCGAAATATACATAAAAGAATGTCTCAAGAAGCAACTTTTGCTGCTTTTAAGATCTAATGGTAATCTGTTATCTCATACAGTAATCTTTTATCTCATGCAGTAATCTGTTATCTCATACAATAATATGTTATTTCATACTGTAATTCGTTATTTTTGACCAATTTAGCATTATATCACTACTCAAACTACTTAAACTAGCTAAGAGAACATAAAGTAGGTTTGTTGAAAAACACTGCAATCCACCAAATTTTTAAAGGAAAACTAAGGTTTAAATGAAGCTAAAAAAATCCAAAACTTCAAAAATAAATAGATTAGAACTACCAAGAAAGTCGAGCAGAAGATTGTTGGTGAAAGCCGGTGTCAAGTGTAACATTTAATATTAAAATACAGTAGTTGAATAAATATCTTTCAAAATATCTGCTCAGATTTTTTCTGGTACATGTCTTATTTTTTAACAATTTTTTTTTTATCAAGTTCTATTGGTAATTATATAGTATATATTAAAATTTTTATTGCAATGACATTTTTGAGAAAAATTGTTTATTTTTTTTGGATTTTTTGTCTACTAGTTAGGTGATGTTAAAAATGTTTATTATGATGATAGTGGTACCTAAGAATAATAGACACAAGATATTATAAGTTTAGAATGTAGTGATATTATTTGCACATGTAACAGAAAATTAATAAATGTATCTTGTATTGTATTTTTTTTTTTAATTTTATTGGATTTAGGGTTTAGTTTTTAAATTTTTTAAATAAAAAAAACGGTTTGATCATTTAGTTTATTTGTTAAAAATAATCAATCATTTATTAGGTATTTAATTTTTTAAAGCGTTTTTATTAAAAATCTTAATATTTAGTGTTAGAATGTGTAGTGTTGGATTGAATTTAATGCAACAGTTTGTATTTGTTTTTTGCTTTTGGTTTGGCATGGTTTAAATGAACAAACTCCAAAGCCCTTCTCCCCTCTTACCCTCTCCCTTTTCCATCAAAAAAATAAATAAATGAATGAATTTAATTTAAATGATTGATTTAAATATTGTTTGTATTTCGTAGCAAATAAATTGAAAATGTTTGCTGTTTTATTAAACAAATTTAATGAAACTTGTTTAAAGTCCCATTCAAACTGAAACTAAAAAATTAAATGCCAAAAAGTTATAACCAAGAAAGTATATTAGTTTTTAATGATATATAGATATCATGTATAGACACTTTCATAGTTTATAATGTATATAATTAGTTTATAATGTTTATAATTAGTTTATAATGATATCTATACACTTTCTAAATGTTCTTTTATTCCTGGACTTAAAATATTAGATTTAGAGAAGAGAGAGTATGTTATTCTTTATGTAGTACTGTGTTTTGCACACTTTTGAATACTTCAATTATTGACATTGCTCTAGAATAATTATATTTATTATTTTAGTTAAAAAAGTTGAACAATTTTTTTTTTTTTTTTACAATTTACTTTACATAATTTTATTGCTATATAAGCTTTGATGTAATGATGTAATGACAAGAAGCTATGATGCAATGACAAGAGTTTAACCTGAATTGCCAATATGTGTTAAAAAAAAAGTTGATAATAAACTCACTTATTACAATTTTCTTACTATATTACTACTTCCTACCTTCCTTTTATTTTTTACAAAATAGTACTTGAATATTTTTTAAAGCAAAAAAAAAAAAAAAAAAAAATTAAAAAAACCTGAAATATAAATAAAGAAACATCAAGATTTGTTATTTGTTAAATCATAGGATGGCAAATATACAGAGACTAAAAACTTCATTACAAACCTGGAATGTTGTTGACTGGGATGTTATTGACTGATATCTTTTTTTTAAATAAATTTTCACATAAAAGTTACTTTCTGGTAAAAATATTTGTTTGTAACATTAACCTAGCAATTAACATCTTAACATTTAATTTGATCATTGTGATACTAAATCCATATCTGTGATTATTGTGATAATAAATCATTATCTGTGGTCAATTTAGTGCAAATATGACATTTTGCAAGAGATAAGTTTGAAAATTTGATTTGTTTCCATAAATTGGGTAATAATGAAAAATAAATTATTTTTGTATTAGGATTGGTATTTCTGTATAAACTACAACAATCGTAGTTTGGCCAAATGATCTAACAAAATATAACAAAACTGCATACTTATCTCAAAATAACCAATTTTGACTGTTGCGTAAGTACGCACAACAAAAATAAATAGGGAAGCACATAAAAGTAGTACTGTATATAGAAAATATAAAGGATGAGATCAAACAAAGACATTTAATTAAGGAAATTCAAAAAATGTTTTGCCACAAGATGTTTGAGACTATTTATGCATAAGGGTGTTTTCATTTTGTGCATAGGTATGTACAATGAAAAAAAGTCTATGTTAGCGTATAATAAGATTAAGTTGTTGATCACTAGCCAAAATTTCTATCCGACAGAGATAGATTAATATTTTTGTTATTTTTGATGCAGGTGATCTGCGGTGCTAGAACTAGACTGATCAATGAAAGCCTACAAAGAATTATGAAACATTTCTATTAAAAAAAACTTTTTACATAAAGGAGGATAAGTAATAATAACAAAGAAAAATAAATAGATGTTCAGAACAAACACTGATTTATTAAAAAAAAAACTTATACTCAAATTATAGTCAACTACTAGTTTATAGAAGTAAAATATGTAGGAACTGTTTCAACCAATTAGAATAAGGTAAATATACGGTGATTTCTCATCCTCAGGAATAAATTGCAGTTGCCAATGTTATTCTGGGAGGTTCTAGATCTATTTAGGATCTTAAGTTTTATAACAAGTTTATGATAATCTTTTAAGATAGCAGGTTGATTTTGTAGATATAATTATGCAGAATTGAGATTAATTTATGATGTCAAATTTGTTACATTTTAAAATTTTGTTTGCAATTTTAAGCTTAATTTCACAATCTAGATTAAGAGAAATTGTAATCTTTTTAGTCTATGATTTTTAGTCTATGGTTTTCATAAAATGCCTTGTTGTTAATATTTTTAGACTTTGGCAGAATGTAAGAAACGAACAGACTTTTTAAAAATGTTGCATTGGTTTGAAACTAAACCAGAATGTAATAATCAAACTTTAGAGCAGTTACTAAATTATCCTGTTACAGTGGTAAGTATTTCAAGAATTTGTGGATTTACATTAACAATTATTGTTTTAAATTTTTACATTTAATGTTTATTATGCACTTTTTTATTATTTATTAGATAGTATAAAAAGAATCCACACATAATTTACATTTTGATGTTCTATTCAAAAAATAAAAAATAAAAAAAATTATCTTAATTTCATTAACAATTAAATAACTAAAACATTCAGTGTAAAATAATTATAAAAAAGTAATAATAAATAAAAATTAAATAATAAAAAAGAAAATAATTACACGATATTAATACTAAATTTTTTAAACTACATTATTAGCTTTGAAAGAGTTGGTTTTATTTGATTTTTATGAGCATTTTTTACAATTGTTTTACTGATATAAAATTTTTTTAAAATATAAAATACTCTATATTAACCAAAAATATTTTTTTTGTTATATATACAATAGTTACATACATATATAAATACATATATATACATACATACATACATCCATACATACATACATACATACATACATACATACATACATACATACATACATACATACATACATACATACATACATACATACATACATACATACATACATACATACAGACATACATACACACATACATACATACATACATACATACATACATACATACATACATATTTTAACCATATTTTATGGCTTAACAAACACACACATGTATATACATTGTAAAGGATTTAAGGGAAAAATAGCACAAATTGTGATACCAGCAGGAAACTTGGCAAAATTGCTGTCAACAACTATACAAATTGATAGAGAAAAAAAAAACCATTCATAACATTCATAAATGTCTTTGGTTTTGAGTTACAGAGTCTAGATAAATGGACTTAAAAGAATTCATTTTATAGTGTAAAATCAGCTTTTTTTTTTTTTTAACATCTTCGCTTCCAACAAGGCTGCAAGCAACCAATATTTAGTGTTGGAAGTTACTGGAAGAGAAAAGATGAAGATTGTAGAGCAAGATAACGATTGACAGACGACTTAAAAGATTGCAAATTATATAAATTAGGAAAGCAAAATGAAGGAAGCGAATTCCAAGGAACTGATGTTCGAGAAAAAAAAACTAGACAAATAAGAGTTTTTGGAGCACTTAGGAACAGTAACAGAAAAAGGATGAGACTTAATTAAATGACGAGTAACACGAGAATGAATTCTAGTAGATGGCTTAAGATGGTACAATCAAGTTTACATTAAATAATGTTTTAATTTTTTCTGGTTTATCCTTTATTAATTTTGTTATTCTTTAAAAAAATTTTTTTTTAATTTTAATTTTTGTAATTTTTTTTAGATTTTATTCTCTTTTCAGTTTATGGATTATTTAATTTAATTTCGCTTTGTTTTTTAAGTGTCTTTTATAAAAGGGCTAATTATCAAACTTTCATAATGCCGTGGCAAGTTGTCAAAACAAAGTTTTATATCCATGGTCATATAAGTTGTACCACAGCACATCTCTTATGCAAAGGCCTTACATGTAAAAAAAAGAACATCATGGCGATCATTTTTGTGCAAAGTATATGTCATGAAAAACTTTATTTTATATAATGATTATAATTAACCCAAAAAAAAGCTAGTGAAATCAAAATTTTACAGAAGTTTTACTTTTTACAGAAGTTAGCAAATTTTATAGTTAAGAAAAGTTAACAATGAATTTTGTAACTGAAATTTTGTTAAAAATACAAACCTAAAATAATAGACTTAAATAAATACTTTTAAAAATAAGTCAACTATAGCATTATTTCAAATAGTTGGAATCAATAAAGAAGTTACGGAACCAATAAAGTAATGGAAGTAATAAAGAAGTTATGAAACCAATAAAGTAATGGAAGCAATGAAGAAGTTATGGAACCAACTTTTGATGCCAACATTGATCAAAAGTTGGTTCCGCAAGTTTTAAAAAATTTGAATGTTTTTATTATTACAATTAATTTATAAATTAGATGTAGAAATCTTGTGGACTTTTGTAAGTTGTAGAAGTAATAAATTTTTTGGAACCAATCAAACCAGTTGTTAAACATGACAAATATTTGTCTTTTATTTTTTCATTATATACTGAAGAACATTAAACAAGTGGATAAGGCATCACTTGGTGTTGATATAAACAATTTAAAAATTGGTATCCTATTGTATGTGTTGTAATGAAGTCCTTGTAATTGTTTCAAATGTTGAAAAAGTAAATCTTTTTCTATAATGTGCAAAGATTATAGAGGAAATTACCATTTATTATATATTATTATATAAATTAAATTAATTTAATTCCCAAGAACTTAATATACTGAGTTAGGCACAAAAGCAAAGAAATAAAAAATAAAATATAAAAAAATAAAATATAAAAGAAAGAGAAATAAAAAATAAAAACTAATGCTTTGTAACATTGAAATTAATCAGGTAACTTCAATTGAATATTTTGGAGTAATGGTTTGAAATAACCTCAGAAGTATTCTGAAGTATTCTTATCGATCTAACCTCAGAAGACTGAAAATCACTAAATCATTAATTAAAACAAAAGAGCACTAATTTGCAATAGTAATGTCATTACAAATAATGTTGTTATGTTGAAGAAAAGAAGATTGTTAAAACAATGTTTGGTTTTAAAATGCTACAATTTAAAAATAATCAATAAAAAATTACATTAAATAGTTGTGAAAAAAAAGTAAAAAAATCAGTGTGAGTATTTTTTAGAAATCTATAAAAATAACAACAGAACATAAGTAAGACACAGAAAACAGTTATAAGTTACAAATATAAAAAATTTTTAAAAAATCTTTATAAAATTCAATTATTTATGAAACTCATTTATTCTAATTTTTTTCTTTTCTTCAACTTTTTTTTTCGTTATTGATTTTTTATTTTTTATTTCTTTTATTTTATCACTCTCCTTTTTTTCCTCCCCCTTATTCATTTAAAACTTTTCTATTTTATTTTACTTTTACTTCATCTCTTCACTTTTTTTTTCTTTATTTATTTGATCTATATATGATATTTATTACAGCAACTTTTTCTGAATTAAAAGAAAGGTCTAAAGAAAGGTCTGAAATCAAGTTGGTATCTTAAAACTTTATTTGTGAAAAGTATATTAAACATTTTACATTAAGCAAGATCAGGTTCCATGAATATTTATTGTGTATATTAGACCAGTTCAAAAAAAAATCTTTTTTAATAATTAAGTGGCTAGATCTTTAAATGTTGAAAAAAATAAATCATTAAAATTTTCAAAGCATTATTCCAATGTTTAGTAATAGCTCAACTAAGTTACTTTTCAATGGGATCCTAATAATTAAAAAAAAAAGTTCTTTAAAAGTAGGTCAACCTGGTACTCAAAAGAAGCAAAATAATATATTTGTTATATATTCAACCTGGTACTCAAATATAAATTACAAAAATAATAATTGTTTTATAAAAAATAAATTTAAAATTTTTTATTTTTATTAAAAAGTTGTAAATATGCACTTTTTTTATTTCTAGTTAAAAAACTATAGTTTTTATGCGATTAAATCTAGAATAATAACTGTAGTATGAAATGATCATTTTTTAAGACCCAACATGACATACTTTTGAAAAAAACTTTTTTTTTTCAAAATATTAGGGACCTGTTAAAAAGTAAAGTTAATGGAACTGTCCCTAAAACACATTATTTAAGTTTGCAATTTTGAACTAATTTTCCTGACCACAAGCCACATCAAATCAAAGGGTAGCCCAAATAAAGTTCAAAAATTATTTTTTTATATACAATTTTGAAATGGTCTAGTTTAAATGTTCTTTTTAGATACCAAATTACATTCGTAGTGTTCATTCTTTATTAAATGTTACTCCTCAAAATCATTCAGAACGAAACAGTTTAGAGCAACTCCTTTTAAAACTACAGGAAGCCCAGGTTTAATTTGTTTTGTTTATCTAATAATATATTTGTTTTAACAATTGTAATTTTACCAGGTATAATATTTTATTATATTAATACCATTATAATTATACCAAGTATAATTTATAGTTATGCCAAGTATAATTTATAATTATGCCAAGCATAATTATAAATTTAGAAAATATAATTTCTTTTATTAGTTATAAATCAGTCAGAACCAGTACCAGGTTCCCAATTTTGGATATATAGCTGAAAATATCTGGTCCATATTGTTGTGCATAACAGACATATTTTTTAAATATTCACAACAAATCATTCAGCATTGGGTATATTTTGCAAAGTTTTCAAAATATATATATTATTTAATATATATTATTGAAATAAATATATTTATAAAATCTCTAATAATTAGGCACTAAACAGTGCTAAATAATTTCTGTTAATTTGTCAGAATTATCAGAACAGCTGTCAAGGTTTGTGTTTCAGAGTTATAAAGTTGAGAGTGACTGCAGTGGCCTTCTTTGCCTTGAGTAGGTGAATTAACATTTATATATATATATATATATATATATATATATATATATATATATATATATATATATATATATATATACATATATATATATATATATATATATATATATATATATATATATATATATATATATATATATATATATATATATATATATATATATATATTTATATATATATATATATTTATATATATATATATATTTATATATATATATATATATATATATATATATATATATATATATATATATATATATATATATATATATATATATATATATATATATACCATTGATGTATCCAGGCCAATTTCCACACAGGTGTTTGGATGCTCAATTTTGCACCCAAACTCCAATACTTATTAACGAAGATAACTTTTGCCTTTATGTTTAAAGTTTTTTGCGTTATGGAAATTAAAGAGAATTAAAATATAGCATAATAGTGTATTTAACATATTCCCTTGTCGATAAGTTAGCATAAATTATGATTAAATGCAGCGCCAACATAAATAAAAAATCTTTTTTTAAAAAACGATGTTCTCAAATAGCTTCTGGGTACTTAAATATATATATATATATATATATATATATATATATATATATATATATATATATATATATATATATATATATATATATACCATTGATGTATCCAGGCCAATTTCCACACAGGTGTTTGGATGCTCAATTTTGCACCCAAACTCCAATACTTATTAACGAAGATAACTTTTGCCTTTATGTTTAAAGTTTTTTGCGTTATGGAAATTAAAGAGAATTAAAATATAGCATAATAGTGTATTTAACATATTTCCTTGTCGATAAGTTAGCATAAATTATGATTAAATGCAGCGCCAACATAAATAAAAAATCTTTTTTTAAAAAACGATGTTCTCAAATAGCTTCTGGGTACTTAAATATATATATATATATATATATATATATATATATATATATATATATATATATATATATATATATATATATCAGGCTTGGAGACGAACAGTATGTGATCACACTCTGTAACTGTAGCTTCTGGGTACTTGAATATATATATATATATATATATATATATATATATATATATATATATATATATATATATATATATAATATATATAATATATATACATATATATATATATATATATATATATATATATATATATATATATATATATATATATATATATATATATATATATATATATATATATATATATATATATATATATATATCAGGCTTGGAGACGAATGGTATGTGATCACACTCTGTAACTGACCACGCTAATAGTTTTTTTTCTTTACAACTAGACCACGGCTATTTTGATGTTTTAACAATTTAAATGCAATAAAAAGTGTTATGTTGTGAATAACCTTTAATTGTTGATCTTTTCTAAAGTATTTATTTTAAGTGAAGGCTTTAAAATAAAACCATAAAATTAATTCTTTTTTTAATGATTGTTTAAATAAACACGTGTGTAAATTATTAAAAAGTGTTATATATAAATGTTTTTTATGTAGGAATGTATTTTTCATGATAAATTTAAATGTTTGAAACTATTTTCCCATGTCTTCCTAAAAATCTTTTAAAGTATTAATTTTAGAAAGATTTTTTTAAAGTTATTTTAATTTGTGAATAAGTTCAAAACCTTTTGTGATTACTAGCTTTTACACATTTACATTTAGCTTTTAAATGTGAATTATACAAGAATATAAATTAACTTTATTTACTTATATAAGCATGTGTTTTGTAATGTTCATAAGATTAATTTTTATAATTAAACTAACAATTTTTTAAAATCTTTTAAAAAAACATTGTATTTTTTGAAATTTTTTTTTTTTTTATTTCAATTACGATAGAAATGAATGAGTTAAAATCATTTATAATAATTTTTAAATTCGTTACGTGAAGCGCTTATTAATAAAGTTGTAATGCTCAAATTAAAATTAGAATAAATTGCTGTTTATTTTATTTAAATCGCAGGTGCGTTTTATTTATTTATTTTTCCCTATTTTTACGAATAAAAGAGTTGGAAACCTTTTTTTTTAATTAGACTTACTAATTAGAGCACTAAGTTATTTTTTTAAATAAATTTTTTTTTTGCAACTTTTTTGAAAAAGTAAATGTTTACAATTTAAAGATATTAAATACAATACTTTTTAATAAATTTGATAAAATTTGTTCATTTATTATATTTAGTAATTTGCCACTTGATTTAAAAACGTTTTGCATAACTTTAATAAAACGTTTGAAAAGATTTATTTCGAATGTAATTAAAAACGTAACAAAAAGTTTTGCTTCGAGTTTAAGTTTTAGCAATAGCAGCAATAGCGCTCGATCGCAGGCCATTCCTGTCCAAGCCTTATATATATATATATATATATATATATATATATATATATATATATATATATATATATATATATATATATATATATATATATATATATATATATATATATATATATATATATATATATATATATATATATATATAGTGAGTCCAAAAATTATTGGCCCACCTATGCATAACTACTTTATTTTTGCTGGCATATAAGAACTATAGGAGAGAATTACTAAGTGTTAGTATCATCGTCTGTTATCACTAGTATATATACAACAAGTTTCAGCTTTTCAATTACTTTCGTTCTTGTTTTATTGAGAAAACAGTGTAAGTTTGTTCAAATATTATGTACAAAAATTATTGGCCCAGAGAAAAGAAAAGAAAAAATTACTTCCAAAAAGTTCTAGAACTTTTGTGTTTTTTTCAGAATGTTATAGAATTGTGTCGACGTTATATCTAGAACCACTAATCATAGTATAAATAGTTGCGGATTTCTTCACTAAATGATAATTTACTAAAATGGCACCTAAAAAGAAAGCACATAGTAATGACCTTTGAGCTTTAGTAATTCAGCACTATCAAAACCGTGGTTCTCAACGAGAAATTGCTGCTAAGACATTACTTCCTTAAGAGACAATTCGATACATAATTAAGAAATACAAACAGACGAAATGTATCGGTAATTTATTCGGACGTGGTTGAACAACCGAAACATTGGATCGATTGATAGTATGCAAAGTTAAGTCCGATCAACGTAAATCTGCCAATGCTGTGAAGATCGAGGTCGAGACCGAACTAGGAATATCATTAAACGCCAATACCATTTGAAATAGACTTCACGAAGCTGGACTTTATGGTCGTGTAGCATGAAAGAAACCATTAGTCAACAAAATCAGTCGAGTTAAACGACTGAAATACGCAAAAAACAATGTTGAACAAGCCGATAAGGTTTTGGGAAACTGTCATTTGGTCCGATGAATCGAAATTTAATTTGTTCGGGTCTGATGGAAAAGTAATGGTATGGAGAACACCCAAGGAAGAATTCGATCCACATTGAACTGTGGCTACGGTCAAGCATGGTGGTGGTTCTGTTACCGTTTGGGGTTGTTTCACGCGAAATGGAATTGGTGAATTATGTGTTTTGGACCATACAATGGACCGATTTTATTATTGTGACATCTTAGAGCAGCATTTGTTACCATCGATCCAAAAATTTAATTTTGGACAAGAATTTTTTTTCGTCCACATTAATGATCCCAAGCATACATCAGGTCTAGTCAAGGATTGGCTCAAACAAAACAATATTTAAACATTAGCTTGGCCTTCATCCTTGCCTGATCTCAATCCCATAGAACATCTATGGAATGAGATCGACCGGAGGATGAAGAAACACAAGCCGAAAAATATCTACGAACTTGGAGACCTCTTGAAGAACGAATGGATTAACGTCGAGTTGTCTGTTCTCCAAGATGAAAGGTTACCCAACACGATACTAGATTCGGTGAAATACCTGTTTCGCGATGGACAAAAATTTTTTTCTTTTCTCTGGGCCAATAATTTTTGTATATTATATTTGAACAAACTTATACTGTTTTCTCAATAAAACAAGAACGAAAGTAATTGAAAAGCTGAAACTTGTTGTATATATACTAGTGATAACAGACGACACAATGATACTAACACTTAGTAATTCTCTCCTATAGTTCTTATATGCCAGCAAAAATAAAGTAGTTATGCAAAGGTGGGCCAATAATTTTTGGATTCACTGTATATATATATACATTAGAGTTATTCCAAAACAGGTCATGTCAAGAAAAGAGCCCTAGCTTATGATTTGCCCTAACCCCAAATAAGTTCCTAAAAATTTTTTACACAAATTTTTTTGAACATTGAAAAGGTCCCCACAGAGAGCATTTTCGATTCCTTAAACCTTTTCATCTGCCAGTATGCTTTCATATCCTAATAGCTTAGATTTATCAATGTTTAATTTAAAAATAAATAATATACCTATTTTATGTATTAAATCAAAATTATATATTTGTTTTAAAACAATTATTCAGACCGTGTACCTGCATTAGAGCAGCTGAATATAGCTTCACTCTAAGAAACAATTCAGTGGAAAAAACTGAAAGAA